AAAAATGATATAATTACATAAGAAAGATGTGAGGAGAGGAAATGAATACGAGAGAGGGAGAAGGGCTAAATTTCATCTTTCATAGTGAGAAGTCAAAATATAACACCTAAAACTGAAAAATAAACCAAGCCAACCACACACAATTGAAAAGCCGCATTATAAATGTTATTTAGAAATGAAATTAAATGCCAGAAGCATCAGCTATAAAGTTGTTTTTCTATTGAATATCCAGTATTTGGCATACAGTTGACATTCAAGGAATGTTTGTAGAATTACACTGACACATAAAAGAGTAAGTATAAACTTTAATATATACCCAAATTCAAATATCCTTTCAAAGGTTAGAGTCTACTTTTCCCTCCAACCTCTAACATTCCCCCACAAACACACACATTCAATCTAAACCTCACAAAAAATAGACATTTTCTTACTATTGTTCTTTATCTAGTTTTAAAACTTTCCCCAGAAGAAAAATTTACTCAAATTAGGGTCGGGAGCAATCACTGACATTTCACAATAAGGGAATTTGATGTTGTTTTTGTTGTGTAACGTTGAATCTGAACCAATCAATAGCTGACCCTCCAGAGGGTTTTCAGAGGCAATTAATTGCTTGAGAGCAGACTGCTCATCTGTCTGCCACGGAGCAGCTGGTGGATTTGAACTGTGTACTTTCAGGATTGTAGAGAAGCGTCTTGCCACTAGGCTGCTAGAGCTACATAATGACAGCCCTAAATACCTCCTTAGGACAAGAAATAAAAATCTAATATATACTGCAATGAAGCAAATTTTATTTTTCTTCATAAAATATTGTTTTAAAAATGTGCAACAATGAATGGAAATCCAAGTTCTTTATAAACTTAAAATAAAATATCAATTAAAAATATTGTTCTAATTACTGGATTTAAAGGTGAAAAAATTAAAATCTTTACTTATAACTCAAATAAGTACTTAAAATATAGTTTTTAAAACCTATAAATCAAAACTTACTGCTGCTGTTATGTACTGTCGAGTCGGAATCAACTCACAGCTGACCCTCCAGCAGGGTTTTCAAGTGGCAATTAAATGCACCGGAGGAGATTGCCCATCCTCCTCCCACAGAGCAGCTGGTGGCCTCGAACCACGTGCCTTCAGGATTGCAATGCAGCTTCTTGCCACTAAGCCACCCCAGTTTATTGTTAAAAAGCTGTATTATTTCACAGGAGGGATATTGTGTTTTTATAGTAGAACAAAGACTACATCTTTTTTTAAACTCAAGCTTAACAAATAAATTGTTGTTGTTGTTTACCACCAAATCGGAATTAACCCACAGCTGACCCTCTGGCAGGTTTTTAGAGGAGAAGATTGTCCATTTTTCTCCAACCGAGCAGCTGGTGGCCTCGAACCAGGTGCATTTGGGATTGCAGTGCAGCTTCCTGCCACTAAGTCACCAGAGCTCCCTTAACAAGTAAATGGCAATTAAAATTTTGGAACATCCAAAATGTCTAACAAACCAGCCAACCATTAACTAATAATTGAACTCTCATTAGACTAAGCACGTCCTTGTGAAGTCCTTTATCCAGTCTTTGCACACTTTAATGGCAGGAATATATTTAAATCTCAATAGGTAGACTGGAAATAACGCTGTTTAAAAAGCCACTCTACCGAAGTGAGTTAAGGTAAATAACTGAATAAAACTATCATGAGCCAGGACGAATAGCTTAAATTGTTTTTCTTGAAAACAAACTTTAAAAAAAATCCAGGAAAATAAAATCTGCTGATCTATCAGTCAGGTGATGTTATTTAACTACAAGGCAAATCATCCTATCCATTCAAACACAATTATATACAGAGCTACTTGCTCTCTTGTCTTTAAATAAATAACAACAACAACAACAACAAAAAACCAAAAACCGATACCCAGAATGATGGGTATGATCTAATAGAGTAGCTCCCAAATATAAGTAAAGTGAGTTTTGCATAAGGATTTAGTTTTTCTTGGAATGTATTATCATGTAAATCTAATTATCATGGAGGTTGCCTGCATTATTGATATTATGGACTGGAGTGTTCTTTTTCACGGTTTAGGATAGGCTGTGCTGTGCATTATTAGGTGTTTAGCAGCACTCCTGGACTGTACCCACTAGAATCTAGTGACAAAAATTTCTCCAGATATTTCAAAAAGTCATAGGCAGGGGCAGATGGCAAAACTGCTCCCTGAAAAGGATCATTGCTTTGGAGGGACACTTCAGGAGGGAGAGATCTAACAGGCAAGCATATAAAACAATTCTTTCTCATTCTAAATATGATAAACTTACGATTTAACACATGCTCAGGCATAGCAACCGTGGTGGTTTGCCACCATTTTAAAGCCAAACATCTTCTAGTCTTACATCTAAGTTGAGGGAAGAGAAAGAAGTCCTATCAAACAGCTCAAAGAGATCACAAAACAATTTTGCCTCATCTTCTCCTTTATCTCCCACTTAAAAGTGCAGTAAGATCATCTTTTCTGTGAATTAACTAGTACAATCCTAGAGGCGTTCACTTGTTAAGATTTTTAAAAATGTGTTTTTAAGCTCAATGGAAAACATGACAGTTGAATTGTAATTCATTAATGAAAATGTCTTGTTCAAAATACCTCTGTATCTGGAAATATGTATTCTATGGGTTGTGAAATGCAAAGTTATCTTTACATACTAATTAAACTAATCAAAATGAAACTAATAAATCTTTTATTTAAGACTATGAAAATGGGAAAAATTAAAATGTGGCCATGAAAGAAACTCAGAAGACATAAAATGTAGTGGTTGATTGTTTAAATTTGGGGGTATTAGGTAATTATGGATGAGGGATGGAAACAAAAAAGAGAATGCAAGAACTCATTACATGAAAAGCCTCCATCTAGATAGAAGACCCCATTTCTTTACCAGACCTCCAGTGTGCTGGAAAAAAACCCAACAAAACAAAACCAAAAACCCCCCACTCCTGCTTCATTTACCTTGTAAGCCTTACTTTTCAAGAAGCTAAAAATAGCCACCCTTATGATTTACTCCAGAAACAAGTAAGAAGGCAAGTAAGTACTAATGAGCTAAACAAAAAAGAGATTTAAGGAAATAAATAAAAAGCTAAACCAGTTCTCAGGAAGTTTCAACAACCAGCATGCATTTTTCGAGGCAGGGAATAAAACTGCTGGATCTACGCTTAGCTCACAGTTCCACCACTGAGATTGATGAACCCGTGTCGTTTTTAGGTCCATTTCTGTGTTTGCCAAGGAGCCCTGGGAGCACAGTGCTCAAGAACTCAGCTGCTAACCATAGGTCTGCAGGTGAACCCACAGGCCTCGCTTTGGTAAAGATTACAACCTTGGAAATTCTATGAGACAATTCATTTCTAGAGGGTCGCTATGTGTTCGAATCAGCAAATGGTTTGGGTTTTGGTGTTGGGTTTTTTAAATGGTGTTTGTGTTTGCCTCATGCAATATACCAGTTAATGTATCCTGTTTCAATGCAGAGTTCCTAATATACAACCCCCAGGGACCAGAGCGTCCCAGACCTGAAGGATCATCAATGAAAGTCATGAGGAAATGTCCAGGACAGCATTTAAGGTGTTTGGTGTTTCAGATTTTTGTTGCTTTTAATACTTAATAAATTATAGCTCCTACCTTAGCTATTACATATATATCCCGGTTCACCACAAGGCCCAGTCTGAGTACCTCATACAACACTCAAGCCCACTTTCAAACCAAAATTTGAAGGGGGTGGGGGAAAAATAACTACCCAAAACTGGGCTGACTTTACAGCGTCTCAGGTTTCAAATGACCGTCTTGGAAACTGATTTGACCCAGATTACTGGGGGGAGCCAGGGACTCGGGTCAAGCACCCATTCATTCCCCCATGGCGTTGTCTGTAGCTTGGAATAGGAATGGGGAACTTGGAGAGCCTGGTGTCATCTACATGGAAAGAGAAACAGCGGGGGGCGGGGGGATGGTCTTTAGGTACCACCCACCTCTCCAAGTGAATCACTGCAGTACCAGCCCTGCACTGTTTCCACGCACTGCCAACCAGGATGAGGTAAGGCGCAATCCTGGAGCCCCCTCCTACTCCCCCTCCTGTGCGCAGAAGGGCTCATCCCTCAGTGAGGTGCACAGCGCAGCCCCCCGCGGCCCGGCTGAGGGGTTGACGTCACCCTTCTGCATTGAGCTTCCAAGACTGGTGGCAACACCGAAAGGGGACTAGAGTTGGGGTGCTATCTATCGCCTTCACCAAGTGGTGGAGGTCCTCATCCAGGACGCTGCGGTCTGGATTCGCGCAATGACAGTATGATCAGAAGGGGAATGAGAGACTAGAGGAGAATAGAAGAAGGGTCACAAGACCCTCCTCCCTAGTCTGCGAGAAAACGCTACCATACCCTAGGTTTATGTAAGACCCTCTTCCCTCCATGCGTCTCTCAATGGCGGGGGCGCTCGTTCTCCCGACCCTCATCAGTGAGCTTGAGGGATTCAGGTCGCCCTTGCCCAGCCAGGCATGCACCAGACTCCGGGTGTCTCCCTCCTGCAGCCCCGTGGGGTCGGGAATAAAGGTGAATCTGGGCTCAAACCCCTCTCCTGCGCCTGCTCTCAGACCGCCACAGGTTAGCTCTGAGAAGCGCCGCGGGAGGATGGTGAGGGGATGGCCAGAGAGGAAAAAAAAAAAAAAGATGAAATAAAGCTGCAACTTTTCCCAGGGGTTGACCCCATCCTGCAACCTTAAAAAATCGATGCATTAAAAAAAATTTGGACAGAATGACGACCAGCAGTCATTGATACCACGCAGCCCCCCGCTGCCCGCCCGGAATGGGTCCAGGGTTCTAGCAGCCCCCAAACCCGCGGGGTTCCTCTTCAGCCCCAGCCCACCACCCACCGCGCGCCTCCTTAAAGAGCGGACAGAGGTTTTAAAAAAAAAAAAAACAAAAAACCAGCTTCTTTCCCAGAACATTACTATCCGGAGGGATGGTGGTCCGACTACTGGCCCGGCTTGGGGACTTACCCAGAAGACGAAGGAGTAGATGATAAGGAGGGTTTTCAGACAGGTTATCACAGGTTTGGTCTCCATTCTCCTCGATGCCATACTACTCTGCGCGGTCGGCGGCGGCGGCAGAGCCGGGAGGTGGGCGGGCACACCGGAGAGAGAGGAGGCGGGGCAAGGCGGGCCAGGCTGGGCGCGCGTGCCACCAGAGACCGTGTGCGCGCGCAGGCGAGACTGTGAGCGTGGATGAGCGCGCCCCATGAGGGAGTGCCGGCTGAAGAAGCAGTCTGGGCAGCTACTGCGCAGTCTCAGAAGGCTGCCGAGCAGGCTATCCGGCACAGGCTCCCCGGTCCGACCAAGTAGGAGACCAGTCAAGCCAGAGCGAGTCAGACACTCTCTAGGCTGCCTCAGAGGTCAGGATGACTTCTTCCAGGCCCCCTTTGCGTTAAGATTTCAGCTTTGTACCCAATAGGGCCTTAAATTTTCAAGGCTGTCTGCACCTGGCTTCCCGAGGTTTCTTGGTGTCCGTGAAAAACAATCTGGGCTCTGTACTTGAGTTCTTCACCGGGCCTCTTAAATATAAGCAGTCCAATAGTCATGTTCTTGGCAACTAGCAGGGCTTGTCTGTGCCAAGAATAGACTGTGACAGGTGGCCGGAAATACAGCTGGAGGGATGGTCTGGAACCCAGAGGCTTTCCAAGAGCTCCATTTTGCAAATTCCCTCACATTTAAAAATTATAAAGAAGCTAAATTAGAAGATGGTTTTATATGAAGGTCCCACCTCTCTTGGTCAGAAGATGCTTAATAGATAGATAGCAGTGAAAAAAACTAGAGTCTTTGAGAATGATTTGTTTTCACCCTAATAGGTTCTGACCACTTCAATCAGGTAAAAGATGTATCAAAGAAATCAGAAGATAATGTCTTCTTTGGTGAAGTGTCTGTTCAAATTCTGTGCCCATTTTTCAATTGGGTTGTTTCTCTTGTTGTGGTGTTCCAGTATTTTATAAATTCTAGATATAAGGCCCTTATCTGACATGTCATTACCAAATATTTTTTCCCAGTCTGTGACTTCCCTTTTTACCCTGTTGAAGTTTTTTGGATGTGCATAGGGATTTGATTCTTAAAAGGTCCCATTCATCTATTTTATCCTCTCCTGTTTGTGGATTTTTCAGGATGCTTAGAAGACTGTTATGTTGTGGATTAGGACTTCTAGAGTTCTTACAAGCTTTTCTCTGATGAAGTTTATAGTTTATAGTCCTTGGTTTTAGTCCTAGGTCCATGATCCACTTTGAGTTGGTTTTTGTGTATGGAGTGAGGTGTGGATCTTCAGATGGTGAAAAAAACACATGAAGAAATGTTCAAAACCTCTAGCTCTAAGAGTGATGCATATCAAAACAATTATGAGATATCATTTCCCCCCTTGTAAGAATAGCAAAACTTAACAGAACAGCCAACAACAAATGCTGGCGAGGTTGTGGAGAAACTGGAACCCTTATTCATTGTTGGTGGGAGTGTAAAATGGCTCAACCACTATGGAAGGCAATATGGCACTTTCTCAAAAAGTTACAAGTAGAAATCTCATTTGACCCAGCAATTCCACTACTAGAAATATATCCTAAAGGAACCATAATTGCCACCCAAGCAGATATATGCACACCCATGTTTATTGCAGCTTTGTTCACAATAGCAGAGTTGGAAACAACCCAAGTGCCCATCAACAAGTGAGTGGATAGAGAAGCTGTGGTATATCCACACAATGGAATACTACGCTGCATTGAAAAACAAAGAACTCATTAAATATTATACAAAATGGGTGACCCTGGAGGACCTTATGCTGAGTGAAATATCTCAGTCACAAAAAGGACAAATACTGCATAGTGCCACTATTGTAAATCGGGCATGACATTGATTGAGAGGAGACTGAGAAAGATGGGATAAATAATGTATACTGCGTTGAAACAGATGGGGGAGAGAATGGTTTAAAAGGGATATCTAATTAGGTATTGTTGTCATGAGAGGAGTCCAGAATGAAGACTGCACAGTGGAGTGGAATTGGGGGGAGGGATTGTATTACAGTGAAAGAATTTTTCTTTTACTTTTCAAAGAGAAGAGTGAATTGTGGGGGGGATGGGTGGGCAGGGAGAAAAGTGCAACAATGAATGAATGGAAATCCAAAGTCTCTGTAAACTTTCATTAAAATGAATTTTAAAAAAGATAATGTCAAGGAACAATTTGGATGCACCTGATTCCAGCAATGGCCTTTTCAGTTACATACTATGCAGCAGAAATTTAGATAATGAATAAAGGATGGCAAAAAAAGAGTCAATGTTTTTGTGTTGTGTAAGAAAAGAGTATCCAAAAGAACAAAAGATATGTCTTGAAGAAAGGAAGCAAGGATGATGAAGCTTTGTCTCACGCACTTAAAGCATGGTGTTAGAAGGGGCCAGCCCTTGGAACAAGACATTATGCTTGGAAAGGTGGAGGGTCATTTAAAGAGAGGAAGCCCCTCAACAAGATAAACTGACATGCTGACTATAGCAGTGGGCTCAAATATATCAAGTGCGGTGAGGATGGCCCAGGATAGGGCAGGTTTAGGTTCATTGTTAATATGGTTGCTATGAGTCAGTGACCTCAATGGCACCCAACAACAACAAAGCTCTAGTGGTGTAGTCTGCAGGGAGTTTCATTGCTAACCCAAAGGTCACACTTGTCTGGCTGTTCTAATTCACTAACAGCATTGTTGGGGAAATGATGGGCAATCTATTCCTATGCAATTTACAGCCTCCAAAAACCTATGGGTCAGTTCTGACTCTATAGCAATGAGTGAATTTTTGAATTTGAAAAGGGAAACATAAAACTCAGTAATTCCACTTCCAAATATATCATGAAGAGAATTGAAAATCTATGTCCACACACTGGAAGGAGTGGCCTTCACTTCCTAAACCACATGCCTCTGGAAACTCTAAGACCTTGGAGAAATGATGATAGTTATAGAAAGGCTTTAGGCCTTTTATTCATAGAGTCGCAATGAGTTGTGCTCAACTCGACGACAATCAACAACAATATGTCCACACAAAACATTAATGTTTACAGTATAATGGCCAAAAAGTGGGAACCCAAATGCCTATCAGCGGAGGAATAGTGAAACACAATCTATATCCATACAATGACATATTATTTGGCAATACAAAGGAACAAAAAGGCATTTGACTATGTGGATCTCAACAAACTGTGGCTAACTCTGATAAGACTGGGAATCCCAGAACACTTGATTGTGCTTATGAGAAAACTGTTCTTGGACCAGGAGGCAGTCATCAGAACAGAGCAAGGAAACATTGCATGGTTCAAAATCAGGAAAGGGGTACATTAGGGATATATCCTATCTCCATACCTTTTCAATTCATAGGCACAATAGATCATCCTGGAGGCTGAACTCTATGAGGATGAATGTGGTATCAGGGCTGGATCAACAACCTGTGTTATGCAGATGACACAATCTTGCTTGCTGAAACTGAGAAGGACCTGAGGTATTTGCTGCAGAAGGTCAAGGACTTCAGCCTTCAATATGAATTGAAGCTCAACATCAAGAAAATAAAGATTCTCTCCACTGGGCCAATTGGCAGCATCATGATAGATGGTGAAGAGATTGAGATTGGTAACAGCTTCATCTTGCTTGACTCCACAATCAACACTATTAGTACCAGCAGCCAGGAAATCAAAAGATGAATTGCATTGGGGAAAATCTGCTGTCAGGGACCCCGCCATAGTACTGAAGAGCAACAATGTCAGTCTGGAGTCTAAGGTGCACCCGATGTAGGCCATAGTCTTCACAATTACATGCTATGCATCAGAGAGCTGGACAGTGACTAGGAATGAGAGAAGGAGAATTGATGCCTTTGAGCTGTGGTGCTGGAGAAGAGTATTGAATATACCATGGACTTCCAGAAGAACAAACAGGTTCATCCTGGAGAGGGTGAAACCAGGCTGCTTCTTGGAAGCAAATATTCTGAAGCTTCATCTGACATGCTTTGGACATGTTGCAAGGAGAGACCAGTCCTTGGAGAGGGACATCATGCTTGGGTGGGTGGAGGGACAGTGCAAGAAAGAAAGACCCTGAATTGACTCGGTGCCTGGGGTAATGGGGGTGAGTGTGTCGGAGAGGGTGAGGTTGGCACAGGATAGAGCAGAGTTCAGAGCTGTTGTACGGTCGCTATCTATGAGTTACAGGGGACTCAATAGCACTTAACAACAACTACAATCAGGGCTTTTAGCTGGCTTTCATTCTAGTTCCACTCCTGCTGAGAAATTGTTTTAACAAGAACCCCTGAGGATGTTTCTAGAGTCCAGGTAATTTTTATTATATGCAAATATTAACTTCAGGTCAGTGAGGTAATTGTTAAACAGCAAGTACATACTTATAAGGAAGAGGGTATTCTAGGCAAACAAATAATCACAACGTAAAGGCACATAAGGAAGTGGAGAAGAATATGGTTTGGTTAGTTTTTTGTCTTTCTATCTCTGCAAATGTCTCAGCCCCTCCTTAGACTCTCTGATTACATTGATAAGGGGTGAATATTCAGCATTGTTGTAAATCTCCTCAAGTGCTTCTGATTTGAATCACAAGTTGCAAAGAGTTTAAGCTCTAAGAAAGAACTCTATACTAGATATTTATTTTGTTTTACAGAAGTATACCCTTATACAAGGAGGGAAAAAATACTGTTGAATTTAAGCTGTTAGCCATAAAAGGTCTTAAAGTTCACTACCATTTAGTCCATTCTGACTTATAGCAAACTTATATTAGGTTTATAAGGCTAAAAATCTTTATGAGAGCAGACTTTCCACCTATCTCCCTAGGAATGGTTTGTGATTTTGACCACCAACCTTTTGGTTGGTTAGCAGTGCAACACATTACACACTATACAACTAGAGCTCTCTCAAAAGTCCTTATTTCTACACAATTCTCTGTAAAGGCATCAGAAATGTCAGTTTCCAAAGCATTAGGGACTCTACTCAGGACCATAAATAATGTAATGAGTTAATATATGATATTTACAGGTGACGATGCTCATCAGCTTGAGCTAACCTCACCATTTCCCAGTTTACAG